AGTAAATTTTTGGAACCCATGCGTGTAGTGGGATTGTAGGTTGCCAAGCTTGACCCCAGCCTCCTTCTCCTGGTAGCAACTGAGCCTCTTACCCAGGTAGTGAGGTGATAGCCTTCAATGACCGAGCAACCCTTGTCCCACAATGGCCCTGGACTGCAGGAAGCACTTCTTCCTACATGCTGGGGTGCTGGCTCCACCCAGGAGAGAAGGGTCCTGCTCACTGTCATCTGCCGGGAACGTCCATTAATTACACAGAAAAGCTAGTTGATCACAGGATTCCAAGCAGCCCCTTGCTGTCCACAGCCCTGAACGCTTAGCACATTCAGAGGGCTAAGAAAATACCCAAAGATAGCAAAGATATGTGCTGCTTCTGATTTATTTATTTTTATTGTGAAGACAGCTGTTGCTACAAAGGAGATGGAAAGCAGATTTAGCTGTAGAATTTATCGATGCTCCAAAGCACGAGAGAATAAATTGGAAGCTGCCCGTATCCTGACAGCACCAATTGGAACAATCTAACCGGCTCTTCTTTTAGCCTTAGACACGCCTGCACGATGGCTGCCAGACCTGCAGAGTCTGGGAAATGAAACAGCTGTGGTCAGGGCACCCGTGGGCAGGCTGGAAGCCCAGCTGTCCGGTGTGCACGGGAGGGCCCATCCCTCACATCCGTGCGTACACAGGAAAGGCTCTGCAAATGTCTACAGGGGGGTTGTTAACCAGGTGTCGGTTCCAAAAATAATCTCAAATGACACATTTAAATGACCCATTTATTGGGGGAGGAGTGCACACATGCTGTGGTGTGGGTGTGGCGGTCAGGACAACTTTCAAGGGTCCTTCTCTCCTTCCACCGTGGGTTACTGTCCTGGGTGCTGTGGTTTGAGGCTTGGCAGCCCTGGGTGGTTTTTAAATGCTGTGTCTAGTCGGTTGGTGTAGAAGTCCCTGAAGGAAGAGAACGTGCGCCCTCCACACAGTCCTGGAGCTGCCACAGTCACGTGGGCTGCGCCACCTTTTGTTCCTCTCCAGGCAGACCTTCCTCTGGCATTCCGTTTTATCAGCCACACTGCCAAAAGAACCTCCCCCAGAGAGCCCTGTGGATTCCTGGGGCCCAACCTTTTGCATGTGACAGGTGGAAGGCGGCTTCTCCTAACTCCCCCACCTAGGTGGCTGTCCTCTCTAGGTCCAGTTGGTAGACAACTCCTCTGTTCCTCACTGGGGCAAAGAGCATAATGGAAGGAAGTCATTCAGGTTTTCCAAGGGTCAGAGAGCAGATTCTGTGCAAACCAAGGGCCATTTCCTACTTCTGGGGAAAAGAGAATTGCCACCATCTGCTTCCAGGGACGAGGCCCTTGAGCTGGAGGAGTCTTAAGTCCTGGCATCTTTGCCCCATTAGGGCCTGGCTGCACTTGTGCTCAGCTGGGCTCTGTGGTTCCCAGTCTGCTCAGCCCTTAGACCTCACCGGCTCTGTGGCTTCCCCTGAGCTGCCCAGCTCTGCCTGGAGGGGGTGGCAGACTGAGGGGTATGAGCACACCACCACTAAAGTCACAGGGAGAGAGGGCCTGGGGCACTTAGCTGACTTCAAACCTCTGGATGCACAGAGGAGGGAACAGAGCAAGGGACAGCGAGGACCAGAAACCAGGTCCCACAGGGGAGGAGGAGGACACCTGGGGCCCACCCTGTCCAGCTGGTAGCTCAGAGCTAAGCTACTGAGTCTTTTGTTTGTTTGGTTTTTGGTTTTTGGTTTTTTTTCGAGACAGAGTTTCTCTGTGTAGCTTTAGAGTCTGTCCTGGAACTTGCTCTGTAGACCAGGCTGACCTCAAACTCACAGAGATCTGCCTGACTCTGCCTCCAGAGCCCTGGGACTAAAGGTGTGCACCACCACCACCTGGCTGCTACTGAGTCTTGCTTTTGTTTCTTTCTCTGTTTTAGAGAGGGTCTTGGCATGAAGCCCAGGTTGACTTGGACTCACTACATAGACCAGCTTGGCCTCAAACTCCGAATCAATCCTTCTCCCTGTGCCACCTGAATGATAGAATTATAGGGACGTGTCACCATTCCTGGCTTGTGTCATAGAATTTTTTGTTGTGTGGTGGTCTCATGGAGGCCTGGCTGGTTTCGAAGTTGTTGCATAGCTGAAGATGACCTTGAACCCCTGCTCCTTCTCTCAAGTGTTGGGGTAACAAGCACTGTCCACACACCCACCTATATCCCAGAGAATTCCAACATGAGCCACAGATGGCAAGCCTCACCTGTATGATCGAGTTTTCGAAAAGCCACATATTTATTTAAAACTTTATTTTTAAAATGTTATGTGAGTGTTTTGTTGGCGTGCTCAGGGCAGAAGAAGGCGACAGATCCCCTGGAAATGGAGTCACAGACAGCTGTGAGCCACCATGTGGGTGCTGGGAATTGAACCTGGGTCCTCTGGGAGAGCAGCCAGTGCTCTTAACTGCTGAGCCATCTCTCCAGCCCCTAGTTATTCATTTTTAAGACATGGGTGACCTTGAACTACTGATCTTCCTGCCTCTGTCACTCTAGTGTCAGATTTCAAGGGTCGCCACACTGGGTTTATGCAGCGCTGGATATTGAGCCCAAGGCCTCATGAATGCTAGCTAGGCTGCCACTCCATTAACCGAACTTCGTCCCCAGCAGTAAAAGCCAAATAAAAAAGGGGGAATGGGGAGTGTTAATATATTTACTCAAAATCTCATTGAAACATGGTGGCATATACCTTTAATCCCAGCACTTGGGAGGCAGAGGCAGGTGGATCTCTGTGAGTTTGGGGCCAGCCTGGTCTACAGAATGAGATCCAGGATAGCTAGGACTGTTACACACAGAGAGACACAGAGAGAGAGAAAAAAAAGGAGAGAGAGAGAGAGAGAGAGAGAGAGAGAGAGAGAGAGAGAGAGAGAGAGAGAGAGAGAGATTGATTTTACACATGGTTCAGTTTAGGAATGTTCAAATGCTCAGCAGCCACAAGGCTGGTGACGTACTGTGCAACATTGCAGGTCTCAATCAAGACAGCAACACAGAGTCACAGCTCTGTCCATGTCCCTGTCCTTTCTCCTGTGGTTTACTCTTGGGACCAATGCTCTGCCATCTGAGTAGGAACCCCCTGCTGCGATGGTTCACTCAGAGCTTGGAGTCTTCCTGCCTGCCCTGGCCAGCCCTCAGCTGGAGCCGATCCGATTTGATCTGACAGTCACATCTAGGGAGTCGTCAGCTCCTGTTTTTTCTTGCAGTGAGTCAATTAGCCCTTGAGCCTTGGTGCACACATTGGCCCCACAGTGCTCATCTGTTGCCTGGAGGGCTTCTGCAGAGGAGTGGCAGCTGCAGCACAGACCAGCTGCAATCTGGGTACCTTCAACCACCCCACCCCACCTCCCACAGCCACTACCTCCTGGGAAGGGCCCTGTCTCAAAGGTGAAGAGAGCCGTGTGGACACAGGTCCAGGAGGAAGGTGGCTGTTAGCGCGGACCTTTGGGCCATGCAGTCACTTAAATGGTCCCTTGTGAGACAAGCTGATTGCAGGCAGGGATATTAGTGTTTAGAAGGAAATTGTCACAGGAATTAAAGTGGGGGACGGAGGCTGAGTGGGTTTGTTCCTCTGGTGCCATCTTACTAATCATGTGGTGCCTAGACCCACCTCGTTTCCTGTTTGCTCTGCAGGGCCTCCTGTGGCCTTCTTCACCCCTCACTGCTACTATCAGCCTCTTCAGGAACAGAAAACTGAATCTTCCTCCCTAGTTCAGTGGCCAAACTCAGTAGCTTCTCAGTGAGATGGGACCAAAAGATGGTTGGGCCTCTTCCGGTGCCCTGAGGCCCTGCTAGAAATAGGAGTTGACTTGGCACTTGATGTGAGGAAGATGCCACTAAATCAGTGTGATCATGCGACAGTCAGTCTGACTTGGTAGAACCACAAGGGCCACTCAGTGGCTTTTCTACCAGGAAACTGGACAGAAGAACAGCCAGGGTAGTATGGATTGTTCAGTGACCTCTGCCGAGGCTTAGCTGCAGGGCTGACCAATTCTGGTAGTGACCCAGGAAGGTATGCAGTGGGTAGGTAGCCTGGCCTCTCTGAAGCTAGCGTTTGAATCTTCTGAGGGTCCTGACCGTGCATGGAGCTGTAGGGGCCCATGGGGAACGAGCTGGGTGGCACCTACATTTAAAAAATATCAGATGCAGCCGGGCGGTGGTGGCGGCGGCGGCGGCGGCGGCGGCGGCGGCGGCGGCGGCGGCGGTGCACGCCTTTAATCCCAGCACTTGGGAGGCAGAAACAGGTGGATCTTTGTGAGTTCGAGGCCAGCCTGGTCTACAGAGCGAGATCCAGGAAAGGCGCAAAGCCACACAGAGAAACCCTGTCTCGAAAAGCAAAAAAACAAAACAAAACAAAAAAATTAGATGCAGGCAGTTATGGTGGCTCACACCCATAATCACAGCACTTGGGGGCTGAGGCACAAAGGTGGGTTGCCAGCTTGGGCTACATAACAAGAGCCTATCTCAAATTGAAAAGAAAATGAAAAAAAAAAAAAAAAAAAAAAAGAGTTGCCTGGTGTGAATGTCTCCCAGCTGCCCCGTGGGAGATGGAGCAAGGTCCCGGGTGGCCCCACCTCTCCTGGCAGGCCGAGCTATGGGTGGGGGCCCGGCTGATAGCGGACCTCGGTGCAAGGGGCCCAGGTGTTGGCTAACCCCAGCTCTAGGACCCGCTGAGCCAGCGCCCACATATGTGTTTAGGTCGGTCTGTTTCCCCTTGCTCCGGCCGGTCTCTTCCCCTCCTGGGTGTGATCGCTGCTCTTTAGCTGGGCGTGTAGGTGTAACAAGTCCAAGCCTCCGTGGGAGTCGCTCGGGCGCCCCGCCCCTGGGTTGCGCCCTCTCCTCCCAGACTGGTTGTGCAGGAGCTCGCTGTGCACGTCGGGGCGGGCGCTGGGGCATGCGCGGGCCGGGCCTGACCGGGACACCACACCTGCAGGGAGGGGCCTCCCAGAAACTGCCATCCCGACCGCCGCCCCACCTCTCCAGAGCCCGGCTAGTAGCCAGCGAGGACGCGCGTCGCCTTCCCGCCCTCCGTCCAGGAGAGCCCAGCCTGAGCCGGCACCTGCTTCACCACCATGTTCAAGGGGCTGAGCAAAGGCTCCCAGGGGAAGGGGTCCCCCAAGGGCTCCCCAGCCAAGGGGTCCCCTAAGGGCTCCCCCAACAAGCACAATCGGTGAGCGGGGCCGTGGGTAGCGGTGCTGGGGTCAGGGTGGTGCAGGGCCAAGGTGTTCCAGCTACCTGGGAGCCCAGTTCTGGCATTTGGTGTCCTGAGGCCAAGGGCCCAAGGGTAGACTCTCTCCTGCCTCCGGCCCAGGTTGAACAAGGGATGGATAGATAGCCTGCTGCTGCCCACGTTCTCCTGAGGAGGGATGCGGGGGCCACAGGTGGGAGGGTGGCCTTGCGGAGGTGCTGGACAAGGTGACTTGGAATGGCAGAGTCTGGTTCCCTGTTTGCCACTCAACTCTGACTTAGATCAATCCAGCCCACTTGGATTGGATGTCTTGGAACGTGGGCATAGGGTGGGCAGGACCAAGAGGCTGAGAGAAGGGTTCTGGGCTTGGCTACATCCCCCACCTAACACAGACTTCCCCAGGTCCCAAACCTGGGTCTTGACTGTGCCACCAGGAGAGTCAGGAGGCCTTTTTCGTGGGGGTGCGAGGAGGTGGTACCAGGCATGCTCTGGTCACTAGCTCTCTGCAGAGACTTGGCCATGTTCTTCCCGCTCACTGGCCTCAAGCCCTGTGTAGGAGGAGGTAGCAGCCTGCCTGGAGTCAGGTGTTAGGGTGCAGAGGTGTCAAGATAAGAGCACAGATGAAAGGCTGAGGTCTGGGTACCCATTACCTCGATAGGGATCGGGTGCCAACCCAGAGGCTGGGCATCTGGGCGGACAGGAAAAACAGCGGTAAAGACTCTCACTGGAGTGACCTGTCCCCCTGAGGCACTGAGCCCAGCCCAGGGTGGAGTGTACAGTTCCCAGTGGAAGCATTTCTGTTTGGAGGTCCAACCTGAGGCTGGACTCTCGAGTCCCAGAAGCCTCCTGGCCTTGAGTTCCTGACTCCCGGAGCTCCATCCACACATCCCCCTGAGGGCTCCTTGTTCCCCTCAGAGGCGCCTACTCATTCAGCTCTTCTTGACTGAGGACCTGTGTGGTATGTCAGGTCTGCCCTAGGCTCTGGGGATGCCCTGCAAGAGAAGCAGGGATGTCCCTACCTTCAAGGTGCCCACATCAGTGCAACCAAAATGAACATGTCGCCTTTAATCTCAGCACTCAAGAGGCAGAGACAAGTGGATCTGTGAGTTGGAGGCTAACCTGGTCTACATAGTGAGTTCCAGGTCGCTAGGGCTACACAGTAAGATCCTGTCTCAATTAAACAAAAATGGGGCTGGAGAGACAGTTCAGTGGTTAAGAGCACTGACTGCTCTTTCAGAGGACCTGGGTTCGAGTCCCAGCACCCACATTCACAACCGTTTGTAACTTCAGGTCCAGAGAATCCTTGTTTGGTCTCCACTGGCACCAGGCATGCATGTGGTACACAGATATAGGCAAAACATCCACACCCATAAAAATGAAATAATATGAACTGGATGCTGTGAGGCTCGGAACTGGTGCTTCCATGGGATTAAAGGCGTGCGCCACCACTGCCCAGCTGTTGTTTGTTTGTATTTTTAAAGCTAAAAAAAATTATAAGTAAAGCCAGATGTGGTAGCATATGCCTGTGAATTCAGCACCTCAGGAAAGGGAGGCAGGATGACCAAGCTATGTACTGAGTACTACTAAGGAGGACCAAACCCAGGCCTTCTTGGCCATAGACATCTCAGAAGGCCATATCTCCACCGGCACTGTGCTTCGAGGGTGCAGGTGCAGCTCCCGGTCACCTGGACTGTGACTCCTGCAGGGTGTTGTGCACAGAGGCCCTTGACAGATGCCTTTTCAAGTGTGCCGATTCTCCCCCTCAGAGTGCACGCACACAGTAGGTGCCTGGGGAAGAAGCCTGCGGGTTGAGCACCTGGCTTCCTGAGGGTGTGCTAAAGAGCAAAGCAGGAGCCGGGCAGTGGTGGCGCACCCCTTTAATCCCAGCACTTGGGGGAGGCAGAGGCAGGCGGATCTTTGTGAGTTCGAGGCCAGCCTGGTCTACAGTGCGAGATCCAGGAAAGGCGCAAAGCTACACAGAGAAACCTTGTCTCAAAAAAAACAAAACAAAACAAACAAACAAACAAAAGAATTAAAGCAAGGTGGAGGCCGGGCCCCTGAGCCCCTGAATCAGCAGGAGGATACTGGGATACCCAGCCATCTCTTGGCCTCCCCCTTCCCAACACTGGTTCTTCCAGGGAGTCACCAGAGTCTCCATACTGCTGAAGCCCCTTGGGCAGAAGAATGGTGGGGGCAGCCAGGGCTGGAATGGGGGAAGCTGGGGTGGGGGAATAGGTCACTACTGCCCTGCTTCCACTGGGTCCAGCTGCGCCTCCTGAAGGCAGCCAGGCTATCTTAGGTAATTGACTTTCTCCCTGGGCCACCTCCCCACCCACCTCAAGGTGCAGGCAGGTGGTTGGGCAGGATTTGGAGTAATTGAGGTACACATGCTTTGGAACAGCACACAGACAGCCCTGAACCGTCACTTTCCAAACCCTCTGCAGGGCTGAGCACTTCAGAGCTCAGACCATGGACTCTTCCCTGTGGGAGGACAGGGGAGATCCCACATGGCAGACACAGAGGGCCTTTCCAGAATATTTCCCTCTGTCCCTGACTATCTACCAGGGCTGCAACCCAGGAGCTGGCCCTGCTCATCTCCCGCATGCAAGCCAACGCTGACCAGGTGGAGAGGGACATTTTGGAGACTCAGAAGAAACTGCAGCAAGTAAGGACCTTGCGACTGGGGGGAGGAGACGGGGGACAGAGGCCCAGAGTCAATGCCTAGGCATGTCCAGACTCCTTCTGGGAAGAGGGGTGACAACCCAGTCCTCAACTGCCCATAGCCCACCCCAGTCGCAGGGAGGGCTCAGCTTTCTTTCTGCATCATGCTTCCTACTTTGGGAATAAAATAGAAGGACCTTTGCTATCTGACCTAGGGAGTCCTTGCCACCTGCCGCATGGATGCCCTAGCCCTCTGCTTGGTGGTCCCCAAGGTGGGCTGGTAGAACCAGGGTCCCCCCCAGGGCCGGGTTGCAGGGGGAGGGAGGGCGGAGTCAGTCCAGCAGGGGTAGGTCAGCAAGAGCATGGACGTGAGGCTTTGGGCCCTGCATGTGGCTCCGTGTCCCACACCAGGACCGGCAGAATGGTGAGCAGAACCAGGCTTTGCAGCACCAGCAGGAGACTGGCCGCAACCTGAAGGAGGGCTGAGGTGCTGCTCAAAGATCTTTTCCTGGACGTAGACAAGGCTCGGCGGCTCAAGCACCCACAGGCTGAGGGAGATTGAGAAGGAGTAAGTGAGCTGGAGCTCACAACGGAAGCGTGGGTGGGGTGGCGGGGGGGGGGGGGGGGGGGGGGGGGGGAGAAGCCAGCCCGGCTCTGACCTGGTGGCTACTCCTTGGCAGCATCAAGCAGCTACATGAGGCGGGTGACCCAGGAGTGTGCAGAGTACCGCGCCCTGTATGAGAAGATGGTGTTGCTCGCCGGATGTGGGGCCCAGGGGTCGACTGGGCGCGGGTGTTGGAGCAGAAACAGGTTAGGGGAACCCGTGTATCGACTCATTCTCAAGGAGCTCACAGCCACACCCGGTGCAGTCAGAGAGCAAGACAGAATGTGTTTACTGGGGCTTTGAGTTCGAACCCGGGGCTAGCTCCGGGACCCAGCAGGGTAGCCGGCAGGGCAGACAGTGCAGCCGGGGAAGAAGGCGCTGAGAGGTGGGAGGACTTGGCTGGGTCACAGTGAAGAGTGGGGGACCCCCCAGGAAGGCACAAAGGCTCCTGCTGGGAGGCGTGGGGTAGACGGACAGTGGACATACCAAGCCACAGGACACTGGGCAGGCGTCATTGTGATGACAACCAGGGGACTGTGGGGAAGGGCAGGTCCTGGCTGGACATGTTCCGGCAGCAGTTGCTGAGGTTTCAGGCTACAAATAACACAAGAGTACAGTGTGAGACCTGAGTCCTGAGAGCCAGTGGGACTGAGCCTTAGTCCCGATGGCCACATGAGAATGGCATGTCCCTACTATGGGGACCAGCGACCATTCATCCACGCTGCTCACCTGGCCTGTCCGTTCTTTGCCTCTATGACTAACTCTGCTTCTCTTGCTGTGAGGAGGGCACGGGTGACTGTGGGGGTGGGGGTGTGGAAGTGTTCTCTGGACTCTAGGACCCAGGCCTTCCTGGTGGGACTGAGGACCTGGCTCTTCCACAGAAGCTGGTCTGTGAAGGTCAGTATGGGCCTGGGATGGCAGAGCTGGAGCAGCAGGTAGCTGAGCACAACATCCTGCAGAGAGAGATCGAGGCTTACGGGCAGCAGCTGCGGACCCTGGTGGGACCCGTGAGTGCATCCCTGTCCAGCCTGGTGTGGGCCTTCCTTCCTCCATCACAGCCAGGCTAGGGCTGCTGGCTTCAAGGGAAGGATGTTGGTAGGGAGCAGCCCGTATGCAGGAGGCCATCACACTATACCCGGCTTCTCACTGGCCTCCTTTCTCTCCTTGGTTGAGGCAGGATGCAACCACCATCAGGAACCAATACCGTGACCTACTGGTGAGCTGGGAGATGGACGGGGTCTGGGTGCTGCTGTTGGGGGGACCGCTTCGCCTGGACCCTTCCTAGGGTCACTGTTGCCGAGGGCACTGATGCCACCTCTTGCCACCTCCTTCTCTCCTGAGCACAGAAGGCGGCCTCGTGGCGCCGGCAGAGTCTGGGCAGCTTGTACACACACCTGCAGGGCTGCACTCGGCAGCTGAATGCTCTGGCAGAGCAGCAAGGCCGCATCCTGCAGCAGGATTGGAATGACCTCATGCCTGACCCCACCGGTGTGAGGCGAGAATATGAGGTGTGTGGGGACAGGCCCAGGCAGTGGGGGTGTCTAGGGCTATCTTATTGCTAATGGCTGTCCCCACTTCAATCATCCCTAGCACTTCAAGCAGCATGAATTGCTGGCCCAGGAGCAGAATATAAACCAGCTGGAGGATGACGCAGAGCGCATGGTGGAGCTTGGGCACCCAGCCATTGGGCCCATCCAGGTGTGGAGGTCCCGCCCATGCCCCCCAACCCTGTGCTCCCCAAACAGGATGGAGGGCTGGTAGGTGTGGCAAGATTCCAGCGCTCACCCTGCTGTGCTCCAGGTCCACCAAGAGGCCCTCAAAATGGAGTGGCAGAATTTCCTGAACCTCTGCATCTGCCAGGAGAACCAGCTGCAGCATGTGGAGGATTACCGCAGGGTGAGCCTGGGGCTGGGGAGTCAGGGGGTGGCTGTGGGGGGGCGGGGCTTGAGGGCAGCACAGATTGCAGGGGCCACTAAGAAGACAGAGCTGTGGCATTGTGCCTAGGTCCCCGTGGGGGAATAAGACTGCGTTCTTCGGCAGGGTGATTTCACCCCTACCAAGTGAGTTTATTTTCTAATTTTTAAAATTAATCAATTATTTTGAGACAGAATCTTATGTAACCCAGGTTGACTTCAAACTCCCTATCTAGCTGAGGATGGCCATGAACTTCTGATCCTCTGAAGTGCTGACTGGCATTGAGGCATGTGCCACCACACCTAGTTTATATGGTGCTGGGGATTGAACCCAGGGCCTCTCTGCACACCCTACAAACTGAGCTGCATCACCAGCCCCTGGGTTGTTTTTCCTTTTCATCTTTTTTTCTTTTTTTAATTTATTTTAAGCTATATGTACGTATGTATGAGTCTGAATATGTGCACGTTAGTACAGGTGCCTGGGGAGGCCAGAGGCAGGCCGATCTCCATCAGCTCAAGGACATCCTGGTCTACCTAGCAAGTTCGAGGCTAACCAAGACTACATAGTGAGACCCTGTCTCAAAAAATTAATAGTAGCCGGGCGGTGGTGTCCCAGCCCTTGGGAGGGACTTTAATACCAGCACTTGGGAGGCAGAGGCAGGCAGATCTCTGTGAGTTCAAAACCAGCCTGGTCTATACAACTAGTTCTAGGACAGCCAAGACTACACAAAGAAACCTTGTTTCAAATAAACAACAAAAAGCAGTGATAGGCTGGGCAGTGGTGACCCAAGCCTTTAATCTTAGCACTTGGGAGGCAGAGGCAGGCAGATCTCAGTGAGTTCAAGGCCAGCCTGGTCTACAAAGCAAGTTCCAGGACAGCCAGGATTCTTTTTTTTTTTTTTTTTTTTTTTTTGGTTTTTCGAGACAGGGTTTCCCTGTGTAGCTTTGCACCTCTCCTGGAACTCACTTGGTAGCCCGGGCTGGCCTCGAACTCACAGAGATCCGCCTGGCTCTGCCTCCCGAGTGCTGGGATTAAAGGCGTGCGCCACCACCGCCCGGCTGACAGCCAGGATTCTTACACAGAGAAATCCTGTCTTGAAAAACAAAAAACCAACAAAAAAATTAATAATAATAAAATAACAGATGGGGTCCAGTGTGGTGGCTGTGACTGAAAGGGCACACCTATATCCTAGCACTTGGAGCAGAAAGCAGGGGCAGGGGGACAACAAACTTGAGGCTTGAGGCTAGCCTGTGCTACTTATTGAGACCCTATCTCAAAAAAAAAAAAAAAGAAGAAGAAGATAAAATAGGCACAGGTGTAGCTCAGTAGTAGAAGATGTGGCCGACACGCACCAGACCCCTGAGGACAAAACCCAGCAGATTGTCTTATGACACACTAAAGCTATTTTCAATGAACCAAAAATGCCCCATTTGTGGACGGACACACCCTTCTAAAAAGGTCCCGGCGCCTGGGTAGCTGTACTTGGTCTTTGTTTAGCTGGTTGAGATTTAACCTGTTTTTGTTTTAAGCTGGTTTTAGGGTAGCTGGCCTGGGTTTAGCCTGACTTGAAGTTTATCCTAGTAAAAGTTTAGCCTGGTCGGTGTTCCAGCTACCTTGCAGGATCAGTGGGTAGCAGGTTGCCCCCGGCTCTGCCCTTGACTACCCAGTGACCTTAGTTCCAGGAAGAGGCGGACTCAGTCAGCCAGACCCTGGCAAAGCTCAACTCCAACCTGGACACCAAGTACGGCCTTGTCCCTGGGGACTCCTCTGGCTCCCCCACGGAGCTCCTGCTACAGCTGGAGGTGAGATAACCCCACCTAGCCCCTCTGGGCCATCTGCGTCCTGTTCTTAGGCATGGAACTGTCTCCAGGAAAGAGGTCCCCAGTTCAGTCCCAAGGCCCCCAAAATAAAGGCTGCTCCAGCAGGAGCCCTGACCCTCCTACATTTCAGTGTGCCATCTGGAATGTGACCGGAGAAGCCTGGGAGAGCTCTGAGGTCTCCACAGCTTCCACTCTGGAGGCCTGTGTGAAACTAGCCAGTGTCCTTACCCTCTGTTAGTGCGAAGCCAGTCTGATTTAGACTTCTCCCCTGACGAAGGCCACACTCCTCTTGGGAGATGCAAAGGGGTGGGTAGCATCCACTGCAGCCTGCCTGAGCTCCTGTTGCCTGGGTCCCAAGCAGGCCGAGGAGAAGCAGCTGGCCATGGCAGAGCGGACTGTTGGGGAGCTGCAGCAGCAAAGCCGGAAGGTGGCCCCACTGCCGCAGCGTAGGAACCCCCCCCAAGCAGCCCCTGCAAGTGGACAGCATCTGTGACTGGGACTCAGGAGAAGTATGAACCCGATCTGCCCTCCCTACCCACTCCCGTGTCTGTCCCCCACCCACCCCCACCCTCCCATACCCCTCCCTACCCCTCCCTCTTCCTCGTTCCTTCCCTGACCCAACCCCACCCCTCTCCAGTCTGTCCCCCTCTGATCTGTCCTCATCCTCACCCCAGCTGCTCCCACCTCTTCTCCAGTTCCTGTCCCAGCTGTTGTTCCCACCCACCCCTATCCCCAGCACCCACCCCTATCCCCAGCACCCACCCCTATCCCCAGCACCCACCCCTATCCCCAGCACCCACCCCTATCCCCAGCACCCACCCCTATCCCCAGCACCCACCCCTATCCCTACCTACCCCTATCCCCTCCCACCCCTATCCCTCCCCACTCACCCCTATCCCCAGCACCCACCCATCTTGACCCTAGCCACCTCTCCAGCTCCTATCCTTGGTCCCCCACGACCCCCTCCCCATCTGTCCCCCAGGTACAGCTGCTCCGGGGAGAGCAGTACACCCTCAAGGACAACGCTGACCCGTATACGTGGGTGGTTCAGGGCCCTGGAGGAGAGACCAAGAGCGCCCCAGCTGCCTGCCTCTGTATCCCAGCACCAGACCCTGAAGCTGTAGCCAAGGCCTCCAGGTGGCTCACCCCAAGATGCTCACAGGCACCAAGCCAGTGCTTTCCTCTGAGGCAGTGGGTGTTAGTGCTGGATTAGGGAGAGAGACATGCTTCTCTCATCTCCTCATTCCAGGCTGGCCATGGAGCTGCAGACCCTGAAGCAGAAGCTGTCTACAGTGAAGAGCCACCTTAAGGCCACTGTGGGAGAGCCTTTACAGCCTGGCCAGCAGGGTACCAGAGGATGGCCAGGGAGGGGGCCGATGGGAGGGCCACAATGAGCAGCAAGCAGTGCTCCATCTCTGGGACTATCCCTCCCTCAGTTAGGTCCAGTCCTTCCTCCAGGTCCTCCATACCCTCCCTGCAGGCACCCAGGGAGAGCCCATTTTAGGCAGACATAGATAGGCCTGGAGCCTCACCGGCACTTCTGCCCCCAGCTCCTGCAGGCTCAGCCCCAGCTGACCCACAGGCTCAGAAGCTCCTGACACAGATGACCCAGCTGGATGGGGATCTGGGCCAGATAGAGAGGCAGGTGCTGACCTGGGCTCGGACACCACTGAACCGTTCTGCTCCGCTGACGGACCTAGAGGACCGCATCCATAGTCATGAGGTAAGTGAGCATCATTGAGAGCTTGGTACCAGAGAGGGCCCTGCTCTGAGGCTGCACACACTCCTGGGGCCATAGACTCGGAGAACAAGGTTCCCATCCTGGTTCTTCCATGACAGGCTCTGTCACCATGGACAAGCCACTTTTCTGAGTTTCTCACGTCTGGGGTGGTACCCAGATCCTTCAGGCATCCTTCGAGTGACAATGTGACCGTGCCTGGCCAGAGGCCCCCAACACAGAAGTTTTTCTAATGAGAGTTGTGGGAACAGCAAGGAAGCCTGGGATACCCGGTAGGGGGAGATTTCTCAGCACTCCAGGAAAGCCTACCTAGAGGGGTGGAAAGACTGTCAGTGTCAGTGATGACCACGTTCTCTGACACATGAACCCAGCAGCCTGGAAGTGCCCTGGGTAGAAGCCCAAGCATTCTAGCCAGCCTTCCAAACCGGCTTCTCTTCAAATACAGCATAGCATTAGTGTTTGGTTTTTGAAAACGTGAACCATGTTCATTTAGGTTGTTGTGTAACCTGTTCTGGTCTCTCTGCTGCACAATGTGAATGGAGGGAGGTAGCAGCTCACTCAGCCCAGCCAGGGAGGAGGAGATATGAAGTCAGGTGCTGCATGTGGGTGCTCTGGCTTGGAGTGGGGTCCCCGGGGGGGCGGGGGGACTGGGTGCTCGTTGGAGGGCCTCACAGATGGGATGTTTGTGGAAAGGAGGTCATAGGTACAGGATATCGGAGGCTGATGGCTGACCCTGCCACACCAAAATAGGTCTGTGGGGTTTTTTTTGTTTGCTTGCTTGTTTTGAGACAGTCTTCCTTTGTGGCCCAGACTGGCCTTGAACTCTTGGTCCTCGCACCCCAGCATCCTGAGTGCTGGGATTACAGCCATAAGCCACCACATCCAGAGGTCCTTTGGTTCTTATGTCAATTGCCATATCAGAGGTGTTGGCAAGACCACTAAAAGCCCAGTTTGAAGGTCTGCCTTATGGAATGGGTGAATTAATTGTGATGAAAGATCAGAGGACAGCGCCCCGAGTGAGCTGAGCCAGGGCTCTGCCTGCCTAGCCTGAAGAAACAGCAGGGTGGGGGCCTGATGGCGGGCAAGAGTAACAGTACCAACCCCAGGCCACCGTGGGCCTGGCTCTTGTTGCTAAGCGCCTGATATACAGGATCTCATTTCATGGCCCAATCCATCATTCTGCAGATGAAGACGGGGGGCGGGGGGTGGGGGGGGTAGGGGTGGGAGAAGGGTGTCCTGCCCTAGGCTATCCTCTTGGGGATTAGAATAGCCAGGCCTTCATGCTCATAGGGTCAGGTGACCCAGGGATCTCTGACTGTGTTTTCTGCCTGCTCCACCCTGACCCAGGGCACAGCACAGCACCTTCGGAGCCTGGGAGCAGAGAAGGAGGCAGCGCAGCAGGAGTGTGAGGCCTTTCTGTCTACTAAGCCTGTGGGCCCAGCCGCCCTGCAGCTGCCTGTGATCCTCAACAATGTCAAGAATAAGTATAATGACGTGCAGCGTCTGTGTCACCTCTATGGGGAGAAGTGAGTGCTGGGGGGACATCTGGAGGGCATTGGAGTGTACGACCCAAGTGTCTGACGGTGGCTTCCTCACTGCAGAGCCAGAGCTGCTCTGGGCCTGGAGCAGCAGATCCAGGAGGCAGACAAGGTCATTCGGGGCTTTGAGGCTGCCCTGGCCCAGGAGGGGCCCATCCCGGAAGGCTCTGGGGCGCTGCAGGAGAGGGTCAACGAGCTGCAGGTAGGCTCAGCGGCAGCTTCCTGGTGGAAGGGGCAGGTAAGGAGGGGTCTGGGTATCCCAAGGAGCCTGGAGCATGTCCATTTTTTCCACAGCACCAGCGGAAAGAGCTCCTCCAGCAGCAGGCCTGTGTGCTGGGGCTGCACCGCCAGCTGAAGGCTGCTGAGCATGCATGCAGTGCGCTGCAGAACAATTTCCAAGAGTTCTGCCAAGACCTGCCTCGCCAGCAGCGCCAGGTGCGTGTCCTCACAGACCGCTACCACGCCGTAGGGGACCAGCTGGATCTGAGGTGAGTGGAACGTAGGGGAGCCCAGGCATGGCTGCTGCTGAGCTAGCGACAGCCTTTCTAAGACCGTTTCGTCCCCTCTAAAATGGGGTGGCAACCAGACTGACTTCTTGCCCTTCCCTGTGTCGGGGAGGCTCTGTTCATTGTGTCTCTGAGAGAAGAACTACATGGCCTGTCACGCAGGCCTTCTGCTCTGTCTCAGGATGGAGGCATCCATCAGCCTCCTCTGTGGACCACCAACTCTTCCCTGGCTTCAGCTCTCACCCCCTTGTGGGACCTTGTCCTCCGGCAGGGAGAAGACACTACAAGATGCCAGGCTCACCTACCAGCAATTCACAAATATCAGGGACAACCTGAGCTCCTGGCTGGAGCAGCTGCCCCACAACCAGGTGCAGCCCAGTGATGGGCCCAGCCAGATTGCCTACAAGCTGGAAGCCCAGAAGGTGAGGGCTGGGGCTATGGGGTTGACCTGAGTCAGGGCCTGGCCCAGAGCTGGGACCTAGAGCTAGCTCCCTGTTCTTTCCAGTCACCTCCTCAGCAGGGACAGCTGCTTGTATTCATGAGGCCAAGGCTCAAAAGCAAGAGGCCTCACGGTTGAGACCAGGAGGTTTGGGAGCGTGGTCCTTCCCTGGCCACAGTTGCTCAACAGCACTTTCCTCTGGTGGGATTCCAGCCACTGCTGTATGCCCTTCCTGATCCTTGTTAATGCTGTAGGTGATGAGCCAGGAATGGAGGGCACAGACCCACTCCCTCAGGCAGTCCACCTGCTGGGCAGTCTGTCCATCCCAGGCCTGAGGCTAACAAAAGCTTTCAGAGACCAGACACCAGCTTAGTGTGAGCACCCCCTGGTGGACACTTGTGGGAGTGAGGGCAAGTGACGTGAGGAAAAAGCCTGGCAGTTGGGTGGAGGAGAAATGTCCCACTCAGAGGACTCTGGTCCAGACAATGAAGTGGGTCTTGAGGCAAGGACAGGCCACACAGGTTCTTCTAAGCACAGGAAGGAATCTGGACCTGACTTTACAGCATTGGGAGCCCTGGAGGAAGGAGGTCACCCTCAGATTGTTTGAAAGTGGTCTCTGGCTCCAAATGGACAATGGATAAAAGGGTGTGGATGAAGACAGGGAGGTCTCTGAAGAGCCAGGGCAGAAGTCCAGGGGAGCAGGGGCCCCAGTGCCCTTCCCCAAAAAATTAAGTTGGAATTCTTAGAGCATTGAGACTGTTTGGTTCTTATTTGTTTGTTTGGTTTTGGTTTTTTTCAAGACAGGGTCTCTGTGTAGCCCTGGCTGTCCTGGAACTCGCTCTGTAGACCAGGCTGTCCTCAAGAACTCAGATATCTGTCTGCCTCTGCCTCCCAAGCACTGGGATTAAAAGTGTGCGCCACCACTGGCTGGTGATTATTTTTTGTTGGTTTGTTGTTTTGTTTTTAAGATTCCAGGTGAATCAAAAGGCAAACCCAGGGTTCAGAACAATGGGTGAGCAGTGGCTTCCAGAGCCTGGTCCCTAACCGGTGCCATTGACATCACCTGGAAGCTTGTTCAGACTGTTCTTCAGGCAGTGCCCCAGGGCTGCAGAGTCTCCCACTGGGCAGCTGGGTCCAGCAGATCTGTGGCCTGATGACACTAAAGCCACAATGTGAGAACCACTGGGCCAAGACAGAATTCCTAGGGTCGTCAGACATGAAGGTCCAAGAGAATGGTGTCAGAGAAGCTAGGCGCCTGGTTCCCTTTGCCTCTGTGTGTGCTGGCTGCTTGTGACCCCGAAGATACCAGCTAGAGCAGAGAGGCTTTTCCCAACCCGTGACTCTTGCTTCCTCCTTGGCAGAGGCTGATGCAAGAGATCCTGGGGCGTGAGCAGGACCGGGCCACAGTGTCCCGCCTCACCCAGGACCTGCAGGAAGCTCTTCAGGTGAGCACGCTTACTTCAGCTTCTCCGTCTTTTCCCACCAGCCTCCCTCCCTCCCTCTTCCAGACTCCGATCCTCCATGCCCAGTCTCTGTAAGTGACTTTTCTCCCTGTTCAGGACTACGAGCTGCAAGCAGATACCTACCGCTGCTCCTTGGAGCCCACCCTGGCAGTACCAGCTCCTAAGAGACTCCGAGTGATTTCCCTGCAGGAGAGCATCCAGGCTCAGGTGAGGCGGGTCCCGGCAGGGCTCAGCATCCTCTGGCACCAGCTCTACAGATCCTCAGGCCAGAGCTGACGCTGCTGTCCTCCCCTTCACCACCTCCAGGAGAAGAACCTTGCCAAGGCTTACACGGAGGTCACTGCAGCCCAGCAGCAGCAGCTGTACCAGCTGGAGTTTGCTAAAAAGATGCTGGAGAAGGTAAAGAGACAGCGCCCACCCTGTGCCCACACAGCCGACCAGGCCTGTTGGCCTGGATGTCATCCTTTCTCCCCTGCAGCCTCCAGCCCCGAGAGGGCTTGCGCATGAAGACTTCTCCAGAAGTTCACCGGCCTGTGCCCGTTCTGGGCAGGCCCTGGAGAAGCCCTGTAGTCATTGCTTAGCCATGGGCAATCCTCTGATGGGGACATGTCCTCTAGCCCCAGAGAGCCAAGAAATGCTCCAGTCATCAGCCTTAGGACCCAGGTCCTAACACCTGGGTCTCTGTTGCTGGTAGAGTGGAAGCCAAGAGCTCTCTCTAGTTCCGGCGGCTTGCCCGCTTTTCTCTTCCCGAGCCATATTTCAGCATCTACTGGAGAAGGTTCAGTATGAGGGTTTGGGAAGGGCTTGGGAGGGTCCTGTGCTCACTATCTGCTGCAAATGGCCTGGACCCTGCCTTGTACCCTAATAGCATCTAACTGAGAGCCTCAAAATCCTGTGTCCAAGCATCCCACGTCTTCAGCTCCATGGCCCAGGATCTACAGTCTCAGAAAACAGGAAGGGGTCTCTGACCTCAGGGGTGGGGTACAGAAAAATGGGGCTCCAATCTTTTCTCCATTCACCCCAGGACTCTCTCTGTCCCCTCCCACTGCAGGAGCTTAGTGAAGACATCCAAGTGACACACACAGCAAGACAGGGATCTGGGAGCCCAGCCCAAGCAGGGGCAGAGTCAGAGGTCCTCAAGTCCCAGCTTCAGAAAGAGAGGAAGCGGGTGGCTGAGGTACAGCGTGAGCTGGAGGAAAAGAGGCAGCAGCTGCTGCAGCTGAGGACCCAGCAGCCTGTGGCGAGGCTGGAGGAGAAGGAAGTGGTGGAGTTCTACCGGGACCCCCAGCTGGAACGTGATGTGGCTACAATGTCAACCCGGATGGAGGAGGAGGCCAAGAGGCGGGCCCGCCTGCAGGCTGAGCTGGAGGTGGTGGCCCAAAAGGTCGTCCACTTGGAGGGCAAGAGGAGGACCACGCAGCCTCACCTGCTGACCAAAGAGGTCACTCAAATTGAGAGAGACCCTGGCCTCGACAGCCAGGCCACCCAGCTGCAAGATGAGCGGCAACGGCTGCGTGGGGAGAACAGCATCCTCACGGTCCGGCTGGAAGAACTGAAGGCTGAGCTGCTGGCCCTGGAGCAGAAGGAGATGGACGTGAAGGAGAGGGTTGTGGTGAAGGAGGTGGTTAAGGTGGAGAAGGATCTGGAAATGGTTAAGGCGGTCCAGACTCTAAGGCTACAGATTGAGGAGGATGCTGCTCGGAGGAAGGGGGTGAAGGAGGCAGTTGCCAAGATACAGGTTCGTATCAAAGACCTGGAGCAGGTGATCAGCTCGGTGGAGCCCAAGGTCATTGTGAAGGAGATAAAGAGGGTGGAGCAGGCCCCTGGCCTTCTCAAGGAAGCCGCCAGGCTGAGGAGCCTCCTGGAGGAGGAGAAGAACAAGAATGTCGCGCTGGCCAGGGAACTGCAAGAGCTGCAGGACAAGCACAGGGTGGTGGAGAAGCAGAAGCCTAAGGTACAGCTCCAGGAGCGTGTCAACGAGATCTTCCAGGTGCACCCTGAGACGGAGTGTGAGATCGCACGGCTCCAGGCCCAGCTGCAGGAGACAGGCCACAAGAGGAGCGGCATGGAGCAGGAGGTGGAGAAACTCCTGCCTGAGCTGGAGGTCCTGCGGGCTCAGAAGCCCGTGGTGGAATACAAGGAAGTGACTCAGGAGGTGGTGAGGCACGAGAGGAGCCCGGAGGTGCTCCGTGAGATCGACCGCCTCAAGGCTCAGCTCAATGAGCTGGTCAACACCAACGGGCGCTGCCAGGAGCAGCTCATCCGGCTGCAGGGGGAACGTGATGAGTGGAAGCGGGAACGGTCCAAGGTGGAGACCAAGATGGTGAGCAGAGAAGTCGTGCGGCACGAGAAGGATCCGGTGCTGGAGAAAGAGGCTGAGAGGCTCCGGCAGGAGGTGCGGGAGGCGGTCCAGAAGAGGCGAGCAGCCGAGGATGTGGTCTATGAGCTACAGAACAAGTACCTGCTGCTGGAGAGGAGGCGGCCCGAAGAGCAGATTGTAGTGCAGGAGGTGGTGGTCACCCAGAAGGACCCGAAGCTGCATGAGGAGCACAGTCGGCTGAGCCGGAGCTTGGATGAGGAGGTGGGGCGGCGGCGGCAACTGGAGCTGGAGGTGCGGCAGCTGAGTGCCAGTGTAGAGGAGAAGGAGGCCCTGCTCAGCTTTGAGGAGGACCGCAGCAAGAAGCTGGCTGCCGAGAAGGAGCTTCGGCAATTGACCCTGAAGATCCAGGAGCTGGAGAAGCGGCCTCCTGCCCGGCAGGAGAAGATCATCATGGAGGAAGTGGTCAAGTTAGAGAAGGACCCGGATCTGGAGAGGTCTACAGAAGCCCTGAGGCGGGAGCTGGACCAGGAGAAGAGCCGAGTGATGGAGCTGCATCGGGAGTGCCAGGGCCTGCAGGTCCAGGTTGACCTCCTCCAGAAAACTAAATCACAGGAGAAGACCATCTATAAGGAAGTGATCAGGGTGGAGAAGGATCCGGTGCTGGAGGGCGAGAGAGCCCGAGCGTGGGAGACCCTCAATCGGGAGCGTGCAGCCCGCCAGGCCCGGGAGGAGGAGGTCCGGAGCTTGCGGGAGCGGATTGACCGGGCTGAGGCTCTGAGGAGATCCTGGTCCCGTGAGGAGGCTGAACTCCAGAAGGCCCGGGACCAGGCAAGCCAGGAGTGTGGGCGGCTGCAGCAAGAGCTTCGAGGGCTGGAGCGGCAGAAGCAGCAGAAAGCCCAGCAGCTGCAGGAAGAGGGGCGGCTCCTGAGCCAGAAGACGGAGAGCGAGCGTCAGAAGGCGGCCCAGCGTGGCCAGGCCCTCTCGCAGCTGGAGGCAGCCATTCTCCATGAGAAGGACAAGATCTATGAGAAGGAGAGGACCCTCAGGGACCTGCACACCAAGGTGAGCCTGGAGGAGCTCAACCAGGAAACCCAGACCCGGGAGACCAACCTTTCCACTAGGATCTGCATCTTGGAACCGGAGACTGGGAATGACATGTCCCCGTACGAGGCCTACAAGAGGGGCATCATCGACCGAGGCCAGTACCTCCAGCTGCAGGAGCTGGAGTGTGACTGGGAAGAAGTCACCACCTCCAGCCCCTGTGGGGAGGAGTCTGTGCTCTTGGACCGCAAGAGTGGAAAGCAATACTCCATTGAGGCTGCCCTCCGCTGCCGCCGCATTTCCAAAGAGGAGTACCACAGGTACAAGGACGGCCGCCTCCCCATCTCCGAGTTTGCCCTGCTGGTGGCTGGGGAGACCAAGCCCTGTTCCTCACTCTCCATTGGGTCCATCATCTCCAAGTCCCCACTCTGCTCCCCAGGCCCCCAGAGTACCACTCTCTTCTCCCCAGGCCTCTCTTTTGGGCTCACTGAAGATTGCTTCCCCATCGCCGGGGTGTACGACACAACCACAGAGAGGAAGTGCAGCATCCAGGCCGCCGTGGCCAAGAACATGCTGGACCCCATCACTGGGCAGAAGCTGTTGGAGGCCCAGGCAGCCACAGGGGGCATCGTGGACCTTCTCAGCCGAGAGCGATACTCCGTGCACAAGGCGGTGGAGCGGGGACTCATTGAGAACACCTCCACGCAACGGCTACTCAATGCTCAGAAGGCCTTCACTGGCATTGAGGACCCGGTCACCAAGAAGAGGTTGTCAGTAGGTGAGGCCATCCAGAAGGGGTGGATGCCCCAGGAAAGCGTGCTTCCCCACCTGCTGGTGCAGCACCTGACCGGGGGCCTCATTGACCCCAAGAGGACGGGGCGCATCCCTGTGCCTCAGGCTGTGCTCTGCGGGATGGTCAGTGAAGACCTGGGCCAGCTCCTGCAAGATGAGTCAGGCTACGAGAAGGATCTGACAGACCCCATCACCAAGGAGCGGCTGAGCTACAAGGAGGCCATGGAGCGTTGCCGCAAAGACCCTCTCAGTGGCCTGCTGCTGCTCCCAGCCGTGCTAGAAGGCTACCGCTGCTACCGCGCGGCCTCCCCCACCCTGCCACGCTCCTGCGTGCGTTAATGAGGGCTATGCAGAGGGCAAGGGAGGATGCATGCACCCCCTGCCCCGGAGCAGCGTAACCCCCGCAGTGGGTCCTCCCTCTGTCCATCCATATCTTGCTACTCAATCATTTGTGGTGTTGGGCTCTGTCCCCAAACTTGGGGAACTCCATCGTTCCTCCCAACCCCCACCCCACACTTCTAATAAATGATTTATCTTGGGGTCGTGTCTTGCTCTCATTTGGGCATGCAGGATCAGTATATTTTGGGGGTGAACCCAGGGGCAGCACTGCTTGGGAATTTTTCCCCAATGTATGTGTTAGGTGGGGCAGATGTGTCCAAGTCACCTGCCTGAGAAATGGGTGGTCATGAAAAGAGACCACGAAGACCCCTGATCCCTCAGTCCCTGTCAGAACTGTCTCCAGCCCTCTGTCAACCTCCCTTTCGTTGGCAAGCTGTGTCCCCCATAAGCAGAATGACACACGAAAACTCAGGAACAAGTTACATTTATTCCCCATTTGTCACACAGAAGGACATCCACAGCCTCTTTGATGATGTGACAACTACTTAGAACACCCTCAGGTGCCCCCAGAGTGTTCCACCCCACCTCCAGCTTGAGCCCTCAGAACTGGACTCTCCTCTTCCCACAAACAGCTTAAAACAAAATCAAGACCCACAGAGGGCGCCCTGTCCTTGGGCTGGCTCTGTAACTGCAGAAGGGAAGGGGGAGGGCTGGAGCCTATCAACTAGCTTGACACCAGGGGTCCAGTCCTACCTCATGTATGGAGCACCTGCATGCCTTTTGAAATGCACCATTAAATCAAACAACACAGGAATTCACCAACCTGCAGGCAGGACAAACCCAAGCCTGGCCTTCTGATGACTGATGTAAAATTCCTCAGAGGTGTATTCTCTCCCTAAATATGCTTCATTTGAAACGGGTGCGGGGTAAGGGGGGGGGGCAGCCAGAGAGGGTGTGAGGTGGTGGGCCCCACATACATGATCTTAGTGGTAGAAACGGTCCACCGTGCAATGGCGGGGTGCTAGGGAGTGCTCTGTAGAGAAGTAGGGATGGGCCAGGGCGGTCTTGGCTGAGATCCGCTGGCTGGGGTCATACTGCAGGAGATGCTGAGGAGGAAAGACAACAGAATGAACTTGGTGCAACCAGGGTCAGGAGAGGAGCTCCCTCACAGGTCCCACTGGGAGGGCCGGTCCCTGAGAGGTTGCCTAAACCCAGCACTTTGTGAAGTCACTGCCTCTGAGCTCTGTGTGTCTCTCTGTATGCCTGTATGTCCGCATGTGCACACAGGTGCAGCCCCATGGAGGCCCGAGGCATCAGGTCCCTGGAACTGGAGTTACAGTTGGCTATGAGCCGCTTGGTGTGGCGCTGGGAGCTGAACTCTGCACGACCAGCCATCCCTCCGGCCCGAAGACAGGTCTCTGTTGTTTGCCTGCACTGCATGTGCCAGGCTAGCTGGCCCATGAACTCCAGCGATCCTCCTGTCTCAGGTACCCATCCTGCCCTGGGGGCACTGGGGTTATAGATTCCTGCTACTGTGTCCAGCTTTAGGTGGTTTCTTGGATGCTCACGATGGTGCCTCAAGAGCTTTAGCCACTGAACCATCCCCCCAGCCCTGACCCCAGGCTCTGTGTGGGACCCAGAGATCTGAAGTCAGGTCCTCGCGTTTGCACGGCAATCACTTTACCCCCTGAACCATCTCCTCAGCCTATGTGCCCCAGCTTGTAAGCCAGTTCTGGACACTCCCGGAATGGAAGCTAAACCATTAGTTTTGTCCCAGGCCTGTGGTTCATCCAGGTCCCCTCCAGGTTCCTCCTGCTTCTGGCTGAGAACAGGTACGTTTCATGTTGAGGTAGCAGTCCCTAAACCTGTCCAAATAACGTCTGCTTGGGGTGGTGCTGGACGGACAATGAGCAAGTGAAGGAGGCACTAACAGGAACTGTCCTGCTCTCTGCCCTCAGGTACACGACCCAGGCAGGATGCCGTGGAAGAGCTTAGGAAGGACGAGGGGCCTTAGCAGAACGTGCATGCCATCCTGCTGCCACTATGTTGGTAGGACAACACGCATAGACCCCTGGGAAGCTGACCATGACCCCAACGGAGACCCTGCCCTTCCTCCTCAGGCCCAACCCCAGGGTGAAGACTTTGCGGGCAAACTGGGACAGCTTTATCTGAGGCCCAGGAGGCAGCTGAAGGGTCACAGGGTGGCAGGAGTCCAGAAGGTAGGGAACAGCCTGTTCTGTACAGCCAGTCCCATGTGAAGACCAACCTCTGAGAAAGGCATGGGGGGACACCAAGGCAGGAGGAGGTGTGGCCTCAGCCCAGGGAAGTGCTCCACCGAGATGGGGCACAACGTCCACAAGGGAGAGAGAGTCAGACACAAGACGACCAGGAAAAAGGGACAAGAGTCACGTCAGGAAAACAAAGCTAATTACTTCGGAGAAGGTTCAAGAGGGAAGATGAACACTGGGTGTCAGGAGTGAAGCTCCTGACCTAATACATACAAGCCAAGGGCGTACAAAGGTCAGAAGAGTCCAGCCGACTCTGGGTTATGTAAGAGGGTGGCTGAGAGAGGGCGCTCTGGAGCAGCGGCAGCTTTTGGGCTGCTCTCCTTGCTCCCCTGTACCTACCAGGAGCAGGTCCTTGCCTTCTGGTCCCAGCCTAGGCATGATCTCCTCCTGCCCCTTCCTGGTCCATTTGGGGAAGCTGCTCTTATAATCAGACAGCTGGGAGACTCCTGGCCATGTGGCTTCACTGGGGGTCCCCAGGATACGAAAGATCCGGAAGAGCTGGTCGATCTCTGAGTCCCCAGGAAACAGAGGTTTGCCGGTCACCTGGAGCAGGAGAGAGGAGGAAGGGTGTGTTCTGTATGAGTGTTGTGATACAGAATCCCACATTGAGAAAGTGGAAAGACACAGGGAGGGATCTCTTTCCCAAGCTGGGTGTGGTGGCCCATGCCTTTAATCCCAGCACTCGGGAAGCAGAGGCAGGTAGATTTCTATGAGTTTGAGGCCAGCCTGGTCTACAGAGTGAGTTCCAGGCCAGCCAGGCTACACAGTGAAGTCTTGTCTCAAAACAAACAACACAACAAAAGATATCTTCCCCAGGGTTATGTTATAATTCTAATCTTTCCTGGAACAAGACTTGCTTCCCCAGCCAGCCACAGATACACCTCAACCCATCTCTAATAGACATGGTGCCTCAGTGCGGTCCGGCTGCCCTGGATCTGTGTAGTCCAGGCTGCATTCCTCCCCCTTCCCTCCTGTTTGTTTAATGTTACACAAGTGCTCTACCCCTGAGCTTCATTCTTAGTCCTTGTTTTTAAAGCTGGCCTTGAACTCAAGAACACCGTTTTCCCAAGTGCTAGAATGACGGGCACATGCTACCATGCCCAGCTCAAATTTGTTGGTTTAAAATTTTTTGCTGGGCTGGAGAAATGGTTCAGTGGCTAAGAGCATCTGGCTGCTCTTCCAGAGGTCCTGAGTTCAATCCCCAGCAAACACATGGCTCATAACCATCTATAATGAGATCTGGTGCCCTTTCCTGGCCTGTATATACATAATAAATAAATAAATCTTAAAAACATTTGTTTTACATTTATTAATTGATTGTGTGTATGTTTTAAACTCAAGCTGCCAGGCTGAACAGTAAGTACTGGTTTCCCATCTCCCCGGCCACTGGCTCAAAGTTTTGTTTTTTGTTGCAGTCTTGGGAATTGAACCCAGGGCTCCCCCCAGCTTAGGTGATCTCTCTACCACTGAGACATGCCCCTAGCCCAGCTTGTCCCCCTCCTACCATTTCTGCGAAGATGCAGCCAATGCTCCAGACATCCACGGCTGTTGAATAAAATTTGCTGCCCAGGAGGATCTCGGGGGCACGGTACCACAGTGTCACCACCTGTGGGGGCCAGAAGCAGCGTCATGCATGGTGACCGAATCCACCAGTGGCATCCTTCGGCTGTCCCTCCCACCCCCGGCCTACACCACCTCATGGGTGTAGGTGCGCAGGGGAACCCCGAAGGCTCGAGCCAGTCCAAAGTCTGCCAGCTTGATGGCTCCGAACTGGTTGATGAGCAAGTTCTGAGGCTTCAGATCTCGGTGGATGACCCGATGACAGTGACAGAAGTTCAGTCCTTGCAGCAGCTGGGAGAGGTAGCTCTGTGGGAAGGACAAGAGGAAGAGCCATTAAACAGAGGGGGCTGGCAGGGGTGGGGGTGTGGCCTTGCCCTCTCGCCTTTCCCTGGGCACCTTGACTACGTGCAGGGGGAGCCCTGAGGTGGGAGTGGAGTCCATGTGCTTCTTCAGGTCCTGAGTGAGGAACTCAAACACCAGGTAGAGTTTCTTCTCTCTGTGGACCACATCCAGCAGTCTGGCAGGGAGGGGTCAGTCTCAGGATGTGGCATTCAGGATGCCAACCCCCCACTTTCTTTCCCAGCTCACTTGACAATATTGGGGTGCTTCAGCTCTTTGAGCAAGGAGATCTCCCTGATGGCAGTGCTGGGAACCCCCTCAGTCTCCCTGTTGGAAAAGATGAAATACCAATGGACACAAGGAGTCACCTCTGGCCAGGGTGCGTGTGTGTGTGTGTGTGTGTGTGTGTGTGTGTGTGTGTGTGTGTGCATGCACATGTTCATGTTTGTGTGTTTCACTACATACACCATTCCTCAGTTCTGCACAGGTCTGTCTAAGAATAGGACCTGTGCTCCTCAGCATACTTTACACCCCCCAACTTCACAGGGCTGGACCCAGGACAAAGGCTAGTCAGAAGGCCAGGAGTTAGGGGCTGCTCCTTTGTGGCTACCACAGAGATGGGGTGCAAGCCCATGAGATGAGGGCAGGTTTTGGTATTCCCGAGAGACAGACAGGGCATTGGGATGAACCCCAACACTCACACATCCAGCCTGATCTTCTTGAGGGCCACAAGCTGCCCAGTCTCTTTGTTCTTGGCCTTATAGACCACCCCATAGGTGCCCTCTCCGATCTTCTCGACCTTCTGGAATGCATCCATGTCTGTAGAGCTGCCCGGGGAAACAGATCGAGTCTGGACGTTTAAATCCCACATGAAGCATCCCCTCTGCCGGATTCCAGTCTGCATGTAACACCCTGCCCAGACCCAGCCTTGGCCTTGCTCTCCCCATCCTCCTTGGGAAGATGGTTCAAGGCTGGGGGCTCCTTCTTGCCCAGCCCAGCTCAACCCAGCTCCAGGATTCTTCTCCATTGCCTGGCTACGGAATGCAGGAGAGCCCAAACTTCTGCCTCAGCCCATGCCTCGGTCCAGTCAAACTCATGCTCCGGGGCCAAAGAATCTACCCAGGAAGGCTGTACAGGGGAGGGTGACTTGAGGCAGAAGTTAGGAGTGGGCCAAGGCTTCTGCAGCCACAATCCTGCCCTGGGTCACACATCAGGGCCCAGGACCTCAGTTTGGCCCGTTTGGCAATTCTTCGCCTCTCTCAGGTCAGAACTTCAGCCTTCTAGCCCAAAGGTGACCCCTTTGCTTCCTGGGCCCCCAAACTCTGCTCCTGAACCCCCAAACTCTGCCCCTGGGCCCCTAGCATCCTCCCCTCAACCTCTTAGCCCAGAAGTCACCGGAAGGAAGCCCTCAGCAGACTGTAGCTTCTCTGTCAGGCAAGCCGTCTGCTTGTGGCTCCCCCTGCTGGCCCCTACTGGCTGCAACCGGTTCTGCACCATGTACACACACTAGGCTTTATTCATGAGGACAAGGAGGAACCCTTTGTGTCCTTCACAAGTCACAGCCCCAGGGCCCTGGGGTGGGGTATCAGATATATATAGATATAGACAGACAGATATAGATATTTATTTATATATTTTTTATTTATTTTAGAGATAGGGTCTCATGTAGCTCAGATTGGCCTTAAACTCCGATCCTCTTGACTCTGCCTCCCTAGCGCTGGGGTTACAGGCATGGGCCACCATGGCCGGCTTGGGGTGGGGGTTCATTCACAGGTCAGTCTAGAGTCCAGGAAAGGGGTACCCCCACCCCTGCCGCTGCTTTCTGCTCTCTGGTTCCAGATGAAGGCTGTCACTGGGAATGAGGAGCAGGTGGAGGGGGTGGCAAGGTGTTGGTGTCTCCTATTGGCTGCTGCTTCTTTTGCAGGTACAGCCTCTGCTCCAAGATGGCTTTTTCTAACATGGACAGATCCATCCCCTCCACACAGGTGAGCAGTCGGGCCTTCACCACAGAACCTCCATCTGAAAGACAGACACCGACGCATAGCAGTGACTTCCTAGAGGGTCTGTGACACTCTACAGATGCTTCCTGGTGTTCATTCCTGAGGCACTAAGAAAGCTGGCAACTTTGTCTCCAGGATACCCAGAACTGTGGGCTCATGATGTAAGTCAGGAAGCAGGAATTGAACCTCCACATTCCAACTCTGCCATTAATTCCTTTGCCTTCCAAAAGTCCAGCGTTGAGGAAACACTGTCTGCTCTAGGAACACCTTCCTTGGCACCCTAGGACCAGTGGCATTGGAAATTGGAGTGAAGAGAAACCATATTGATAGATAAATCCAAGGGACTGAGCTCCAAGCAAGGTTGGCCTTATAAGGGGAAATCACCCTACCCTGGGAAAGGGGGTTGGGGACCTGCTGGCAGATGTAGTGGTGACCTAATATATAATGCCAGTGTTCCTGTAATATCAAACAGGAAAGACATTGGGATGTCCACAACAGGCGTTTAGCTTTTTTTATTTAAATATATATATATATATATATATATATATATATATATTTTTTTTTTTTTTTTTTTTTTTTTTTTGCCAGGTAGTGGTGGCACACATCTTTAATTCCAGCACTCAGGATGCAGAGGCAGGTGGATCTCTGTAAATTCTGTAGGCTAGCCTGGTCCCAGTCCCAGGACAGGTAAGGTTACACAGAGAAACCCTGTCTCAAAAGAAAAAAAATTCTGTTTATTTTATGTGGATTAATGTTTGCCTACATGTATGCAGATGCACAGTGGGGCTGCAGTACCCTGAGAGGGCAGAAGAGGGTATTGGATCCCCTGAAATTGGAGTTTCAGGTGGTGTGAGCCACTGTGTGGGTGCTGGGAACCGAACCCATGTCCTGTGTAAGAGCACCAAATGCTCTTAACCATCTAGCTATCTCTCCAGCCCCGATATTTACTTATTTATGTTCAGATTTATTTTATGTGCATGGATGTTTTGCCTGCATGCAGGTAATTGTACCATGTGTGTTCCTGGGCGCCCCCAGAGGACAGAAGAGGGCATCAGATCCTCTGGAACCGGAGTTATGGATGGTTCTGATCCACCATGTGAGTGTTGGGAATGGAACCCAGGTCCTCTCAAAGGCAGTGAGTGCTCTGAATCTTGGAGCCGTCTCTTCAGCCCCTACTTGCTTTTCGACGGGGTTAGTACAGTTCAGGCTATCCTGGAATTTGCTATCTATCCTAGGATGACCCTCAACACATGATCCCCTACATCTACCTCCCAAGTTCTGGGATGACAGGGACATGTCACCATGCCTGGCTTAGAAAGAACTTCCCCTGGAGTTCTCACTGTTTCCCAGGAACTTCAATGAATAGCTCAATTACTCCATCTATTTTTGATGCATTTGGGATAACAGCTTTCTGGCTGAAGTCTAGCCTGACCTTTCTAGTCTAGGCCATTTACCTATTGCAGATAGTCTGGGGGCAGAACTCATCATCAAGCTGTCTAGTTTCAACCACCTGCATAGGTTGCTTGTGAAAAATGAACTTGTTTGAGCCTCATTTTCTGGGTGCCGAGTGGCAGAGATGGCGTTACTCACAGAGGCCTCAGTATCTGGCTCCATCTGCACCTATGAATGGGTGTTGGCTGCCGGTTATCACTACTCAGGCCTCTGGCCAGGGGATATCTACATGTGGTGATATATTGTGTACCCTAATAACTTGCCTGAGGATCAGAGGACAGAGCCAGCCACCAGATTAGACACAGAGGTCAGGCAGTGGTGGCACACACCTTTAATCCTAGCACTTGAGAGCTCATGCCTTTGCTTGGGAAGTACACAAGCCTTTAATCCCAGGAAGTAAGATGGCAGGGCAGAGAAAGGTATACAAGGTGTGAGGAAACAGAACACACTCTCTTTAGGCTGAGGATTTTGTAGATGGAAGAACTAGAGGCTGGCTGCTCTGCTTCTCTGATCTTTCAGCTTTCACCCTGATATCTGGCTCTGGATTTTTTGTTTTGTTTTCTGGTTTTTTGAAATAAGGTTTCTCTGTGTAGTTTTGGTGCCTGTCCTGGATCTCGCTCTGTAGACCAGGCTGGCCTTGAACTCACAGAGATCTGCCTGGCTCTGCCTCCTGACTGCTGGGATTAAAGGCATGTGCCACCGCCACCCGGCTGGCTCTGGGTTTTTTATTAAAAGACCACCTAAGATTTGAATAACATCTACACATGTCAATCAAACATTCATACCACCCTGAGAAGCCTGGGCACACACTTTGCTCTCAAGAGTTTGAAGGATCGGCAAGAACAAGAACAGAATCAGATGATCACAATGTCAAAATGGAGGGTTGGGGGCTGGAGAGATGGCTCAGTGGTTAAGAGCATTTGCTCTTCTTCTGAAAGACCTGAGTTTGATTCCTAGCGTCCATGTTGGGTGGCTCATAAACATCTGTAACTCCAGGTCTGGCTTCTGTGGGAACCTGTACTCACACATACACACAATAACAATACATAATCAAAACCAAACAGCCAGGAGGTGGGGGCACAGCACGTGGGAGGGAGAGGCAGAGGCAGGCAGATCTCTGTGAGTTTGAGAGCAAGTTCCAGGCCAGCCTGGGCTACACATATAGAGACACCCTGTCTCAAAACAAAATGAATCAAAAGAAACAGGGAAGGCACGGGAGGAGTTTGAGAGCTCTTCCTCAGCAGGAATGAGGCCCTGATGTGAACGCCATGGGGGAGGTTTCTGGAAGGAGGGATGGGAGATACTAAACTCAAAACAGGAGCCCATGTCAAATGTTCCCAAACTTCTGGTGTAAAGATTTTCTTAGAAATCTGCTTAAATTTCACAGAACCTTTTTTAAAAATATTTATTATTATTTTTTAATTCTGTGTGTGCACGTGCATCTGTGCACATGAGCACAGGTGATCAAGGCCAGAGGTGAACTGAAGTGATAGGCCAGTGGGAGCCAACCGACATGGCTACTGGAAACCAAACTTGGATGCTATGGAAGAGCAATGTTCCCTCTTAACTACTAACCATCTCTCTAGTCCCACGGCTGGCTTTGTTTCCTTCTTTTAAATTCATTTATTCAATCGGTGTGTGTGTGAGGGGAGACTGGGAGAGTGACCGTGTGTGAGTGTGTCTGTGTGTCTGTGTGTGTATGTCTGTGTGTGTGTTTGTTTATGCATGTGTGTGTGCTCTCACAGAATCGTTTTGTTTGTTTTGCTTTTTTTTGTGTGTGTGTGTTTTGAGACAGGGTTTCTCTGTGTAGCTTTGCGCCTTTCCTGGAATTCGCTTTGTAGATCAGGCTAGCCTCGAACTCACAGAGATCCGCCTGCCTCTGCCTCCTGAGTGCTGGGATTAAAGGCGTGTGCCACCACCGCCCAGCCTCACAGAATCTTTAAAAGTGTTCATTTACATTATTTACAAGGTTTAAATGTTTAAAATATTTTTATTTATTTTGTGTGTATATTTTTGTTTGTTTGTTTTTCGGGTTTTTTGTTTGTTTGTTTGTTTGTTTTTTCGAGACAGGGTTTCTCTGTGTAGTTTTGGTGCCTGTCCTGGATCTTGCTCTGTAGACCGGGCTGGCCTCAAACTCACAGAGATCCACCTGGCTCTGCCTCCCGAGTGCTGGAATTAAAGGCGTGCGCCATGCTGCACAGCCTTTTGTGTGTGTGTGAATGTTTCGTCTTCATGTGTATCTGTTGGCCACATGTGTGCCTGGTGCTTGGGGAGGTCAGAAGAGGGCAAGGGATGTCTTGGAACTGGAGTTACAGGTGATTGTGAGCTAGCACATGGGTGCTGGGAATTGAACCTGGGTCCTCTAGAAGAGCAGCCAGTACTCTGAACCATTGAACCATCTCTCTAGCTCCCAAGATTTAAAATTTTAAGTTAAGTGTATATGTGTGTGGGTATGTGCACATGAGTGCAGTTGCCTATGAAGGCCCAAAGAGAATATTTACTCCCCTGGAGTTGGAGCTACAGGTGGCTGTGGGCTGCCTGAGGTGGGTGCTGGGAACCAGGTTTGGATCCTCTGGAAGAACAGCAAGCACTCTCAACTGTTGAACCAGCTCTCCTGCTCCATTACTTCTATTTTTAAGGTCAATAGTCTTAGTTGGGCAACACTTCACTGCATGTAACAGAGTAAGTGACCCACAGAACAGATGGCGTCCCATGGTACAATCAACCCAAGGCTGGCAGTCCAGGTGTTTCAGCTTGTTTTGGATGGAAGGAATAATATGGGCATGGGCGCACATGATTGGGGACAGCTGCCCGTGGCCTCAGTTCTAACTGGAAGAGGTGTGAGGAGAACTGGGCATGTTGGGGCTTGCCTAGAATCCTAGCTCCTGGAAAGGTGTGGCTGACTGGAAACCTCATCTCAAACAATAAATGGAATACTTGTCTAGTGTATGCAGCCCTGAGTTTGACCTTCAGCATGCCAAAAATGTACAATGGAAAAAAAAAAAAAAGGGACTGGGAAACAGGTCAGTGGTTAAGAGCACAAACTGCTCTTGCAGAGGACCTGAGTTCAGTTCCCAGCAATTGCTCACAACCATTTGACTCCAGCTCCAGGGCAATCCAAGGCCTCTGGTTTCTATAGGTACCTGCATATATGTGCACATACCTATATACAGACAGAAAGACACACACACATACACACACACACACACACACACACACACACACACACACACACACACACTTAAAAATAAAATAAATCGGCCGGGCGGTGGTGGCGCACGCCTTTAATCCCAGCACTCGGGAGGCAGAGCCAGGCGGATCTCTGTGAGTTCGAGGGTGAGTTCCAGGAAAAGGCGCAAAGCTACACAGAGAAACCCTGTCTCGAAAAACCAAAATAAATAAATAAATAAATAAATAAATAAATAAATAAATAAATAAATAAAATAAATCTTCAAAGGAAAGGAAAAGGCTGGGGATGTAGGTCAGCTGGTATAGTACTTGCCTAGAACCCACTCAGCCTAGGGTCTGAGCCCCAGCACCACATAAAATGGACATGGTGGCACACAC